CACGGCAGAAGAACTTTTGGAACTTTGTGCTCGGAATCTCGTGGTACACATGCTTTGATTGCGTCGGGCCACGGCTGTTAAGGCCAGGGATATGTTTGATGTTCGATTCCTGCATTGTTTGTGTGAATGCTGCCTCCCGACCCAGAAGATGGCAAGATGGCTTCTACTTTCCCTTCCCTTACCCGTTGTATGCAGATATGTTCTTCTGCCCTGAGACCTTCGGGCTCAGAGATCACCGACGGAGCAGTATGCCGTTCCATGCAGCTTAGTTTTGAGTGGATGAAACCTGGTGAACCGATTCAAATCCGTCATGACTTCAGAAGCTTCTGGAACCATAGAACCCCCCAGCATCAAGACGTACTAGCAAGCCACAGACAGCAAAGGTTACATTTTCTTTATTCAACAACTCCTTCATTGAAATCAGCCCCCTGCTGGCTCGTTCAGTTCTTCATAAACCTAGCAGGACTTGCTAAAGACCAAGCAACCCATCTTCATCATCGCAGATGATGTGACCGGAGAGGCGCCACACAGCCGATCGGATCGTTTTGGCATGTTTTTGCAGTGACTAGATGCGACGAGTCGGACTGGATACCCAACCGACATACTGCTCGAATTTGCATTGATTTGCTATTTCTGCCCGAGCCGGCGTCCGAGTCTGCATCCTATTGCCAAGGATTCCAAACCGGTTGCCCCATGTTGGGTTCGGGAGGTTGGGTGCAAATCAGAAGGCAACCAGTCAAGAGCAGTGCAGTGCAAGGAACCCCCAGAAAGCGTGGCTAAAGCTGATTGAAAACACTACTGTCGAACTTGCAGAGTACGGCTCAAAACCACTCTGTGGCTTATGGGATCGGTCGACGTGTTTTGGGGGAGTCCATTTGATGCAATATGATACAATATGTTTGCATGTACTGTATATTGATGTCATTTTATTTCCCTGATCCATGGGAGTTTTTTGCTTCAGGATTGCTTCACTGCTACGGCTTTGTCTTAGCATTCAGAGCCCCAAAAATGCTCTTGAGTCGAGCAATTAGGGAAAATCGAGCAAGGGGAGGTCCCGATTGCGGATCCCGTTTGAGGCATTACAGACCTTGGTGCTGAACAAGCAGCGGGGCATTTTGGACGTGGTCGCCATCAAGGCTTTTCTGGGTTGAGATGTTCAATTGGCACAAAAGCAGACTATACTTAATTAATCAATATTAATCATATTTACCCTTCTTCAGGTTCGTTTTTTCCCGCAGTTGCCGCTTTCCGGACACCGACTCCATTGGCTGCACGTATTGCTTCCGGACACCTCGAGGACCTTCCGAGAATGTCCACCGATTCGGGGGTTCCAACATAAGGATCGCCAATTGAGTCAACTTGTGGTGAAGACTCAAGTAAATTGACTTACAGTATATAGTGAGGACAGTAGTGAGGCCATACTCACTAAAACTTTTCTTATTGCAATGATTTGGTCATAGTCATAGTCATAGTCATAGCCATGCTTCATCATCAAGGACTTATCCAAGCTTTCTTATCCTTGCGAACATGCATTGATGTGAGACCACAAATACAAGCATAGCAGAGAGGCAAACTCAAACTTCACTGGTTGCCGTTTGCTGTTGCTGTCTTCGACTTAAAATCGTGCCTCGGTGTGCGAGGAAGCCGGCCGGGCACTCTATCCAACTCATTCCAGTTGTCTCTCACATGCATGGCAACCCAAGTCGCTGAGACCCCACGAACTTCCGCAAGCAGATCGCCCGGTTCCACTGCACAACCAGGTGCACTACCGCACCGCCAGGCACCGGCCTTTGGTGCACGGAAGACTGCGATTTTGCAGGACATCGCCCTAGCCACAGGCGGCCAGCTTTGTGACACCCTTTAAACGAACATACGGATTGAGTGGAGTTCAAGTTTCTTTAGGATGACCCACTTGTGTCTCACACCAACTGACCAACAGTTGCAGTGGGTCTAGGCGTATGTGGCTGTTCATCTTGAAGTCCTGCGAATTCGTTGGCATCAAATCGGAATGACTTCTTCCTTTGGGACAGCCGGTCAGGCGCAGAGTTTATCAACTCAGAGCTGGGCATGACACTGCAGGAGACGTGCTGCTCAAGTGTGTGTTGGCGTCTTCCACACATCTTCCCCAACCGCGTCGGTGGAAGATGTTATCTGGCGAACCCTAATCAACTACTCCTTGGGTTGTTGCTACGCTTCTTGGAAGACCGGGCACCCGCAAACACAAAACCCATGTACAAGCAGTTACTTAGTGGTAGCTGCTTGAGCTGCCACGTTGGAGCGCGCGAAGGTGGCACGTTGGAGCTGCAGGATGGAGACCGTTTTCACAGATCGAAACTACATGAAACTACTATCCATTTCTCATATTTCTAATTCATTTCGCTCAATTAATGGCCCCATATGGCCCCTCTAGGCACAAGGATTTTAATCAGACCTCCACAATACCATTGGCTAAAGATTGGCTGGCAACCTAGAGGCAGCCTTGGATCTCCTTCAGTCTTGCTGACTTGTATTACACAGGTTCTTTTTATTGTCAAGGCCAGTACTTGGAACATGGCTATGATTTGCTTGGTGATTTGCTTGATTCAACTGCTTCCCTTCTCATAGCCGTAGGTCTGGGCAGGTCAAAACCATAAATACACAGCCCTCCTCAAAAGACACATTGAACATCATTGAACATTGGTGGACCATGTCTTTCTCGGCGTATTGATTTGATGAACGTGAGGATGCCACGGTCGACCAGCTGGGCACCTGCGAGAAGGTTGTGGTTGAGAAGGAGAAGGCGCAACGCCTTCTGGCAGAAAACAAGTACAGCCATGGTTTTCTGAGACGGCCATGGGTTTCAAGAGTTGGCAAAAAGAATTGGGTAAGCCCAAAGTGTTGTCTTTGTTGGTAATGTCTCTTCTGATTCCTATATTATCACGTTATGATTGATGTGCCACCCGGAGAGGAAAGAGTGGTACATCATCCCCAAATCCTGTTTGTGGCCAGTAGCGAATTTGGCGACATGCAGACATGGGCTTGCAAGCCGGATTCAGGGCGGTCCTGAAAGTCCTTGTTGCAAGAAACATTGGCATCCACTTGGATCCGATGGTCCTCACGTGCGGGGCACGCGCGTGCCCCAAGAAGCGCGTTTCGCGTGCCTGACCCATTGCCGTCCGCACAGCCTGGCGAGAGGCGGTTTTGGTCACAGATGGCTCCCATGCCGACTCGGTGAAGGCGAGTTTTTGATACAAAGGCAAACTGAAAGCAGTGCTGGGTGAACAGGAGTGGGGTTTTGGCTTGTCCTGATCGTGAGTATAATCCTGTTAATCATCGATCCCTTCTTGTTGGGTCTTTGTTTTGACCAACTTCGTGTTAGCTGTGTCAGGAGCACGAAAGCTATGATTTCAGAGTAGTTCCACGTTGGAGTTTGGCAGATGGTGGCATGTGGTTTTGGTCGCTTTGTTGTGAATCTTCTTATTTACTTGTATATCCGCTACAGTTCCGTCCACTTCCCTCCACCGAGTCCGCTCCAGGAGCGCATCGTTCAGTTGGAACAGCTGCTGGAGGACACGGACAGCAGTTACGATCAGGAGAAGATTCAGGAGTGGCCCACGACACGCGCCTGGGAGGTCTGCGACCGGTAACAGCTGTCCGTCCACACGCGCGCGAGGACATGCGAGGACCGTGTTTCTTTGTTTTTTGGGTGCCCGGGTGTGGCGAAAGCTTTCAAGAGCTTTTCGGATGCGGCTGTTCGGGCGTTTTCGATCCGGCATCCAAGCATCGCGGCTGCCAGCTTTTGGAAAAAGACCCATGGAGAAAACATCACGTATGAGCCTGCATGTGAAAACACCGCAAAACCAGGTTTGCTGGCATACAATCTTCACTTGTGCTGTCGGAATTCCATGGAACCCATCATTAGTGCCGTCCAAGTTCTCAGGTGGTAGGGGATTTGCTTAGCCAACCCCAGTTAAGCCCAACTTGTAGACCAAGGGCATCTTCCAAGCCATTTGTTGGTTGATGTTGGTTGATTTATGTGAGCCAAACCCGAACCTCCATGCACATTTCAAGTCTATGAGCAGCATGGTGTTGAACAGTTTTTGGTCTTGCTGCTGGACAAAATTCAGCATTGTCGGCACAAAAACGTATAAGATACATGATGATACATAGGATCTCTATCAACCTTAAGAACTATATACACTGGCTTGAAGTGGGTTCACATACTCCCTTCATCTCCGTTCGATGACTTGTCTTTTTGGTGGATTCCTATTCACCACTATCCTTGTTGGGTCTTCTGCCACACTGAGTCTGAAGCAAAAAGCAATCAAAACAAGCGCAGCACATCAGCTTCACCAGGATCCTCCGTTCGGGGTGCCTATCAATAACCTCTTAGAGGTGATTCTGGTTGTGTTCCAACCACCCAAGAACCACCAGGCTGTGTGTCGATCCAGCGGTTTCGTTCTTCGTTTTGGCTTCGCCAGGAGCGGATCGCCTCCCTCGGCGGTGGCGTGGCGAAGATCAAGGCGTGGCTTTTTGAAGACGTGTGTGGATTTCGGGGCACTTCCCAAAGAAACGATCTGTGGGCCAGGTGGAAGCATCCAGGTTGTCTTGGTTTCAGGTTGAAGTCGGTTTCAGTTGTGTCAAAAGTGTGTGTTGAGCGTGCAGAGTGTGGCAGATCTCAGGTTGAAGAGGACTAAGGTACTCTGTCGTGATTTGTGAAACAAACACAGTCTTGGTAGACATCCGTTGAGTCGTGTTTTGTCTTCTAGTTGGGTTCGCCGGGTGACCAGGCTTTGGAGTTTCAGGGGGTGTGATGCTGATGTGTGGCTTTGTACTTATTCCAATCATAGAGGATACACTCCCTGGAACTAACATGGAAGTGGAAAACTACCTGTTTCTAGAGGAACATGGTCTTCCTTTCGGGGCATCCTCCCTGGTGCATTCCAAGAGGCAGCAGATCGTGTCCGGCCCCTCGCCACGTGTCCCAGGTGGGAGGTGCCACCGAGACGGAGATGAATGACAAGAAGTGCCCTAGAAGAGTGAGATGGGATGGCGTTTGGTACGAGATGGTCAGTTTAGATGATCTATCTACGTTGCCCATGAGCAGGTGATAGCAGGTGTTGCTTTTTGAGCCGCTCGACCATACACGCTCGCTTGGCTATTTGTAAGTTTGGGTGTACTGCAGGTGCAGCAGTTCAGGCCTGCTACCAGTTTGGAAGGTTTTCCTTTGGGAGGTGGGTTGGATGAAGGACAGAGATTTCACTTGGGACTTGGGAAGACCTGAGAGGAGTCAGATTTAGATCAAATAAACAGATTGAAAAGACACACAGGACTAGGATTCCAACAACAAGCAAACACATTGAGAACATGATTTTGCCAGTTGACGGCTGTTGCCCTAATCGCGATGCCGCCGTGTGATGCCGTGTGTACACGCAGGCTCCGCTACACCGACGCCATCAGCGCGGTGCGGAGTGCCAAGGCGAGGGGCCGAGCGTGGCGAATCACGTGGATTTCAAGTAGGGCCCCTTGTTACGTTCGTAGCTTCTTGCTACTAGTAATGCCAGGAGCTACTTGAAGCGTCCTTGTTACTAGTAGCCATGCACCTTGTTACGCTCGTAGCATTCTTCTATAGGGCAGGGAGAATTCACATTATCTCTGCGGATTTCTACTGGGTGGAGATGTGACAGTTGTAGAATTTTGGGCACAGAGAATGTGAGCACTCTTCATGTGAGTCCAGAATCGTCCCAGTCATGCACGTGTCGAGAATGCCAGATGTCAGGCCAGTTTTTTCACTAGAACGATGCATAGGATTGTGTTTAATATGATTCAACCAAAACGACTAAAAGGTGTCCTAGCAACCAAAAAGTACAGTATCCTAGGAATATGATAACTTCATATAGCTTCATAATGTGTGAGAAACAAATTAGCAGAAAAGCTGCTTCAGACATGTTATATATAACGTTAACTCCATATTATTTCCCGCGTTGCTTCGCAGAAAAGCTGCTGTCAAGGAGATGGGGATTGTCCCTGGCGGCGGCAGCGTGCTGCTGTACCTCTCATCGGGCAAGTTCGTGGAGGCTGTCCAGAAGGCGGCTGCGGTGATCGACGTGGCATCGGCGTGTTCGGTTGCAGCTTGAGTTCGGCTACAGAAAGATGAGGTCGGGGTGGGAACGACGCTAGGAAGTCATAGAGGTGATTGCTTTGTGACTCAGATTTGTTGGGGAGTCTCTATACCATATACCAGCAAAGAGCCAATTAATGTTACAAGCCTAAAGCAAATGATTGAGAAATTTAAGTTGGTCGGTTGACCTCATATATATATATATATATCCTTTTTCTGACTTGGGGCGACTCTACTGGCTCAGGATGGGCCGCCCTGTAGACCGGGTAGCGAAACACGAAGCCACGTGGATGACTCCACGGCATCGTGTGGGCGAACAGCTGGGCGAACATCGGTCTTTGCACGCTATGATATGCTTATGTATATGTCCTTTTTTGAGGGGGAACAACACTTCTAAGGAGTTTTGGATAGCTTTGGGGAAAAGACCACTTCTTGAACATGTTGCATGAGTTCATCGAGTCTCATTGACCATCTTCGGCTTCGGAAAACCTCGTGCGAGACTTCCAGATTCATCGGCCCCAGGACCTGCGGACCGAAGATGAAAAAAAGGGCGCTGAACTGGTTTTCAAGTCGCTCCAGGCGCGGGTGTGTCATGGCTGCTCATGTGACTCATGTGGTTTTGGAATGACTTTGACAATTCGCAAGTTTGTTGAATTCATGAACGCAAACATGCGCAAAGAATATGGAACCGCTTGAAACCACCTGTCCTCACCTGTCCACTGTACAGAGGTCAACGTGGCGAATGGGTCCATCATCCCAGTCGCCACCAGATACCAGCCCCAGAGCTGTGGGTCCCACTGAGGCACCCATCCGACAGATCGCGCGGAATGCGGGCGAGGACCCCAGCGAGGCTGGGGTACCGAGAGGAAAGAACTTCTGGAACTGAGCAGGGTTCTCTTGGAACAGATTTGGGTAATAGCGAATCACCTCAATGGGTAGACTGGTCGACTGGGGGTCTCAAAAGCCACCCGTTTGGGACGTGTCGCGTTTATACCTTTCAAGCATGCATCATAGCAAATGTCCAATCATGACGACACTTCCAAATCAATAGAGATACAATACTATTTGTTCACGTTTCAACCTCCTTCGCCTTCTTTTTACTTCCAGACGGTGTGTGTCCGGCCTCCTTCGTGACCTCCGCTGCGTTTGTCGCTCCCTTCGCTTCGCCTCGGACGAGACGTCGATGCCTTTCACGCAGCAAGCAGCAGCGAACGCAGCGAACGCGTCTCGACCTGCCCACAAGTTGTGGTCCAGATCCAGTTTTGGAAAGGCCAAAGTTGGGCAAAAAAGGTCTAAGACAAGTGAAGCTGAACCTTGAAAGGCTTTTGCTGCAAGAAAGCACTGGGATCATCAGGAGTTGTTCTGACCAATCCTACGAATTGCTCTATTCCGTGCACACCTTTCGGTATTTTTTTGGGGGACCACGTGCAAGATTGCTCTCTTCCCGGTGCGACACGTCCACTCAAGACCGGCTTCAAGACATTCGCACCCAACAGCGACGAGGTGGTCTTCTCCCTGCGGGGTAAGGATTTCGGCTATGGCTACAACGCCGCCACCAAGGCGGCAAGGGGCGGTGATGAAGGCAGACTTCTTGGAGTCACTAAATGTGTTTGGTTCATCTCCAGTGTTAGAAGCTTGCACATATTTATTGAAACATAGTATGATGTTTCTGGATCCCCTCGGTCTGACTTCCTTTCTGTCGAGTCATAAAGGTTGAAAGATGTTCCACGTTCCAATCATGTCGCTGGTTTATGGGTGCAGTCGAACTATATAGGTTGGCGTCCGCCTAGCAGGAACTTTTTCGGGCGTACGTTTGTTCGTATGAACGTATATATCCCGCACCACCCTTTGGTACAGAAAAATTTGCTCGAGGTATGTTTCTTATAAATACGCACGATTGAGTACATGTTCCAAGAAATGTGCACGTTTTAACTTCGGAAAAAAAAAGGCGCTCGAGTTGCATGATGAAAATGTGAAGTGCTTCAGAAAGCCATGGGATGAAGCAGAATGATTGTGAAAGCGATAAAGTCAAGCAATATCTGAATTTCATCGAGTCGATCCATCACTTTTTCCATTTCACCTCAGCCAACCTTTCTTGTTCCACTCACTTTTGTAGTGGCATAGCGCCCGCTGAATAGTCCTCAGCGCTATACACCAAGCATGGCAACGTCTGCTCATTCGGCAGACCTGAGAAAGCAATCCATGCAAGTGACCGAAATTGGCATCAAACACAAACATGAGGCACAGCATGGTCATTGTTTCCAAGTGGCTCGTCCAATGAAATCTTCATCTATCCATGTTTGGTAGCCTTAGGGTAAGAACAGCACACTGACCAACATGCACAAACCAGCAGGGCAGGGTGTTAACAGGTGATGTCAAAGGGCACGCGGGCGAAAGTACCCAATCTGCACCTTGATCAGCCAGCTGATCACACATCCACATCCTTGGGCACATGACAAAGCACATGTCTCGCACGATGGGTCATGGAGAGAACGCAACCATCTGGCTTTCAGAACCATTTCTTGTATGTAACTCTGCTGTATTAAGAGTTGAACCAGGACAGGCAACAAGCACATGACAGCTGCGAGACTCTTCTGTTTGCTTGCATGTGGTCCTATGCCACAACCAGCAGCACAGAACACACATGCCATGCATTAAAAGAAATCCATAAAAATCTATATATCTATATGTGCTTGGATATATAAAAAGCGATGTACATGACTCTAGACACCACCAACACTGTAGCATTCTTCACAGAGTGCTGCGAAGGTTCATGATTTCTTGCTGCATGTGTGCTTTCGGCCGCTTGGCAAACAGCTTCCAAGATTTACCATCACAGTAGGCACGCAGTGCACTGGTTCCTTCCTTGGAAGCACAAAGGGCAATCTCGCAGGCTTACATCACATGAGCTGCGACACCACAAGCTGAAATGGCAAGCAAGTTTCGGTCATTGATTGACATGCTGATACAGACTGCTCGGCAACATCCCTCTTGAGCCATGCTTTGTGGCTTACACATCGATGTTTTGCAGAGTGAAATGGAGGAGAGCCCAAATATCTTGGTCCATGCCCTTAGCTAGAGCAGCCAAGCCAAGTCTCAACAACCACAACCAACTTCACAAACAAGGACCAAATAAGTCATGGGACATGCCCTTCCGGGTTCACTGTGCTCACAAGGTGGAGGAGCCACTTGGAAACCACCGTGGTGTCATAGCCTTTCCATGAGCATTTCGGAAAGTCTGAGAGCCTGACAGCTGCACGTACAGGCAAGAGCCACACACAAACTCACATGCAATACGCTGGTCCATGCAACTCCTTTGCACACCAAGAAGCGATGTCATCTTGAATGTGGCAAGCTCAAACTTTGTCAATGAAGTATTCAACTTCATGGCCCGGCGCCATATATGAAAGGAGTCAAAAGCATTGGACAAACGTGCATCAATGTTGTTCCCACCAAACAGGTGCCATCTGCAAGCAAGTAGAACCTCAACAGCACACTTTCTCAGCAGGACACAGTCCAAAGCACATGCGTACCAACAGAAACCTTGAGTGCAAGCATGATACTATTCCACATGCGCAAAATTCTCTTCCGATCCCATGATGCCACGTATGCATTTGGTCAGCATGTTCCCCCAAACACTGTCTTCGAAACACTGTCTTCCCCCGTTTGGGGACCAGCAGATGCAGCTGGCTTTTTTGCAGTCTCAAGTTCAACCCTCATGCGTTTCAGCTCAGCCATGATGCGGTTTCGTTTGGCTTCCATGCCCTCACCAGCAGCTTCTGTGGGAGCACAGGCATAGGCATCATCCAAGGCACGTTTGCTGCCAGTCACACTGGAATCTGGCGCATGCTGACTCAAAGCCACAGGCGCTGTTCCAGCAGCATGCTTACCAGCATGTGTGGCTATATAGACCTGGCCTCAGGAACGCACATACCTACACGGACACGGATGCCATATAATAAATAGAATATATCACACAAGGCATCAACGCACACACAAGAAGTCCAGCCTCGGTTGCCTTTGCTCAAGCAACTACTAACGCAACCTTCAGATGGTTCTGTTGGCACATTCTTGGAGAGCTCCCAGATTCTCTCCAATTTTTCCTGGCTACAACACAGAACACAGATGTCTCTAGCTAAATGTGCCCTGGCCTGGATCTTTTTGTCCAAGTCAGGCGCTGGCGATGGCATGTTCAAGAGTTCCAAGCCGACAGGCAATGACTCCTGAGACTCCGAGGATCTCATCTTCTTGAACAACACCAGCTGCAGTAAACATGGTGTCAAGACAACCACAAAAACACTTTGCGCTCGTTTGCGTTTTTTTGCGCCCGCTTTGCGGAAAATAGCGCCCGCTTTGCGGTTGACTTCGGCCCCGACATTTCATGTTTCATGGTCAAGTCCTACTGCAACACAACATGCCGTAACATTTTTGCTACACACATGCAGTGCAACATGCCCTGCGTTGCGCAAACTTTGCGCAAAACTTTGCGCAAAGTTTTGCACAAACCTAGCGCAAAGTTCATGAGTTGTGTCACACTCTTTTTGTATTTCTTGCAAGGTGCCAAGTATAGGTGTACGCTTTGAACAACGCGAAAACTAATTTCATGCACCAACCTCACAGAGACATGCCGCTAGCTGCAAGAAGCCTTAGGTTATATCTACAAGCCAGGCAATCACAACACACAGCTCTAGCACAGTGCAAGTCAAGCAGCGACCCTCTTCCTTGACATGTTGTACTCTTCGATCAAGTGTTTTGGCACCGACACCCGGGACAGGAGCTCATCTTTAAATGCTGCCATGCAAGCTTGCCAAGTGGTCGGTATGCTTGTGCTCTCCATGCTGTACAAGTACGTGAAGACACCAATGCAGTCTGCGTCATGCCAGCAATCACCGCAACCCAACTCTTCAAAGATCTCCTTGTCTGTTTTTTGGTTGCCCTGGAACTTGGGCTTGGTCCTGCAATCATGACCCCCGTACATTCAAAATTACATATGAGTAGTACTTAAATGTATAGCATGCGCATCATGGCCTCAAGGTCCTATTGGCTTCTTCTGGTGCATCCAACCATATGCGGGCCAGACGGCGCCCAAATGCTGGAGGGTATGACCTCACCAATTGCACACAGTATCCAAAGCTGAGTGCCAACCAGGATCATCACACTGAGGCCTGCGCTGTGTGGATTTCAGCTGCTGCGTTCCGGACCAGGAGCCATTCTTCCGGCCTTGAGAGCTGGCACAAGATCTGCTATATATTATCTACTGCGCAAATGACTGCTATGTAGGCTATTAAAAAACAAAAGCCACACATAAGTACCCGGCGCGCAGTCTTTATCGTAGTCAAGCGGTCCCGCTGTTCTTTGGGGAGGGGGCCAAGATCTATCATTGATATGTGGCGCCAGTTTGACTGGATTTGCAATCTTTTGGGGCATCCAAGGCCATAGTGCATCATCCAAAACGAGGTCCGATAGACCTGACATGACTTATGGAGGCAGAAGCCCAGCACATCCATGCAGCAGTCAACTTGCAAACAAGACACCCATGCCACCCGGTTTTTCAGCCATGACCACCGATGGTGCTCAAAGAACATCGAGAGGTTTGGCTGCTCAACGAGCAGAATGCATGGTTGGCAAGAACCACCAGGCACACCAAAGTCAGCCTAAGAACATGCACAAGGGAGGCAAGGATTGGGGAACATTGGAGACGCACATGTTCGACAAGTAACCGGCTGGCCATCCGGTTGCCTCCTTCAACAAATGGGTGAGCAACACCCAGCACATTAATTAATGACCGCTTGGTCGTTCCTCTTGAGGTTGCAACATGCACGCGCAATCAACACAGAGCATTCTTGCATTTAATGAGCTGAGTTGCTGCAGATGTCCTTTCCTCTCGGAAGCGTGAGCGACCAGAACTGGAAAACTGCTTGCATCACCTGGTCCAAGCTCGGTCGCAAACCCAAATGCCTTATAGCAAGGCCCACCACAAGCTTGTTGTCCTTCAAGTCTCCTCACAAGGCAAATGCAAAATACACAATAGTCCAGTTGGCCTTGGTTCATATGTAGCTCCAAATATGTTATAAGGACATGCGAAATGCAAGTGCTATGCGTATGTAGATATATATATATATATATATTACCGCTAATATTGCAGCCACACAGCTCTTCTCGTCAACTTCGAGGAACGAAACGAGCACACAAGGACATCTGTTGTCCAGCTGGCGCAACAACATCCTCATTGGCCCACGCAGTGGCCAAAGTCCCAGCCTGCTCAAACATGTTTGGCACAAAGCCCTGCTGCAGCCCAAATGCTGCACAAAACTTGCAACATGTCTCCAACCACATGCCTGCACCTTGCCAAAAACAGCTAGGAAACCTGCTCGTGTCATGGGCAACCATCGTACTCCTTTATCACTCATGAGCAGAAGTCAAATTACATGAATGCCAGCAAACAAGAGAAAGCATTTCTCCTCCGGGTGTGGCCAAATTTTCCATTCGAGCTGCGAACTTGTCGCACAAAACAGCTGCATGACACAACAGGCATAGCCATGAAGATCAACGAAGCAATGCACACCATCCGCGCAGCATCAATGACAAAAACCAACAAATGTGAGCAACCGCAAGCAATGAGCGGCAACCATGAAGATTGGTGATGATTTTGACTAAATCATGCAGAAATCCGCTCGATTAAAACATGTGCACGATTAGCACCCTTACAGAGAAAAACGCTCGATGACAAAAGTTTGTACCAAACATACCTCGAGCAAATTTTTCTGTACCAAAGGGTGGTGCAGGATATATACAGGCTTTGCTCCAAATGGAATGATCACACCTATATATTCAGATTTATCCAACAGTGTGTGAAATCCCGCAAACACCCAGAGCCCTACGTGGCCTCCCAACAACCCGTTGGGGGCCCTTCTTCAGCCCTGCACCAACGGGAGGCGAACCGCGACGCGCGACCCGGCTGTGTTTTGGATCAGGTCTACGAGGACCTCTTGAAGGCTGGCGTCGTGGATCCCGCGAAGGCGAGTGGAGGTGAGTGGAGAACCAGCTTCCGGAGGGTTATGTGCTCAGAACTGGTTGAAGGGAACATCTACAGTGAAACCGAAACCCATATTTTGGGTGAGAACCATGGTTTCCTGAGGAGTTTCTCTCTCACCAAATCCCTTGATTATTTGCTCAAATGTTCTGAGCGTTGATCACACTATGTCAGAGTTGATCCCTTAGTTTGCTAGATGAGGATCGGTAGAGCTCTTTATCCCCACATGTTTTGAGATGGGTCGAGACAGGACACATGGGGATTTGTTGAACCGTGAGCAGTGAGTGGTCACTGGGAATAGAGCTTGAGGGACATCATAGGAATTGTTCTGGTTTGATTGTCGTGTGAAATTACAACTCAAAGAAGTGAGCCAAGTGAACCAGGAAACAACTAGCTAGGAGTGTTTGTTCAACTCATTCGATCTCCAAAGGCTTTGAATCTGGGCACTCAACATGGAATCATTCACATGTCTTTGCTGTAGATTTGTTGAAGAGGGTGCAGAGTGCATGGTTCTTGTTGAGTGGACATGCACTCACTGACCTGTCATGGTGATTGACCTGTCATGTACAAGGTGGTTGGCACTTTGGTGGCTAAATGAGCTCACGTTGGGGCCTAGAGACACTTGGGTTGAGGAACGCCTGAAAAAAGTAAAAGAGTTTCCTCACCAATTCCTCATCAAATCTGAAGGTCATTCTTCCTACTAGATGAAGATGCAAAATTGGCCGTGGCGACGTTCCAGGTTCAGTTGAACGTCTTGCAATGTTGCTCCAAAGCTCCAGCCTCGAAACTCCTGTGGTTGTCTTGGCAAGCTGAAACTCAAAACAGAAGCTTTGGAAGACGTGAAGGAATATCTCAGTCCAAGACTTGGCCAGAAGGTAGAAAGGGTTACCTTCCCTCCAACCATGGATCATCGTGGAAGTGGAAAGACCATGAAATCCTCGCGGGGGTGAACTCCACAAAGTTTTCCCAACCCAGTTGGGCGGCAAGGTGATTTCAAGACTCCGTATACTAAAGCCTCAATCCCTTCCCTGCAGTACCGCTGCCTCCTGCAGGTGGTCATCAACTCCGTGGTGAATGCCGCCTCGATCGCCGGCATGGCGCGGCTGTCCTGTCACGGCTGTCACACATCGCGGCGCGAATGGCCGCCCTCCAATTTGTACTCCCTCCAGTTTTGCACCCCAAAACTGGCGCTACTAAGTCGTTGCAGCTGCGAAGGCACCTCCCATTCCCGCGACGGAACGCGCCGTCGACCGCCGAACGCGTCGGTCAGGTGCTCACCACCGACGCTGTGGTCACCGACCTCCCGACCACTCCACCACCCACGCCTGCGGGCGGTGGCATGGGCGGTGGCATGGGCGGCATGGGCCAGGGGCGCCCAGTGGAGCTGTCCGGTGGATAGAAGAAAGGCAGCAGAAGCATGAAGAACACATCGACAAAACACAAATTGGGGATGGTTGTCCATATTTGGATTCATTGCGATACATGTTAATGCACTGTTTTCTTTTCTCAAAGGGAAGAGCACATGGACAGGGTATGACAACTTCTTCAACAATTCCAACGATAAGCATCAAATGCACGTTTGAGTGTGGGCCAGAAAAGCAATACAGCTAAGAACAACCTTGAAGCGTTTCTTGGTGAATGTTGACAAGGGGAACAGTCCAGAGATTGGTTGGAAGTCGCCTGACTTTAAGACAAATCCCATCATCTCACCGATTCAACGGGCCTCAGCCATCCCTGGATTTCGTTCAGCTCAGGTGGTATGGGTGGCATGGGCGGCATGCAGGGACCTCGGCCGGTAAGGATTGATGGGCTAGGTGAGACATGTATCTACTTGAGTCACCTCAAGACGTGTTGCTTCATCCACCGGCTTGTTCAGATGTTGATTGATACTTTGCTGCTGCATGTGGATCCCTGTAACACACATCATATGTGGTGCAGACCACAAGCGACAGTTGCCTCAAGAGAGGCAAATCGAGCAGCATTAGTGAAATCATTTATCGGAATCGTAAACCTACGGTCCAAGGCTTTGTGTAGAGCCGCTGGAAGCCTTCCATGTAAAAGAACCATGGGCCCTGCTGGGGTTTTGCGAGGGTTTGCCCAAGCCGGGGACTTTGTGCAACCGACCAGATAGATATATATATATATATATATATGAGATCCTTAATTTATTCACCTTTGGGCTTGTCTCATATATATATATATAAAGGGGAAAGCCTAGACCGATGGCTTGCATCTAATGGTCTATGAACAGAGGAAAACAATGCTTTGTGCCACCCTGACCCCTCTCCTTTGTGCCATTGCGCTATGGCGCCACGAGGTATTGAGACGTTTCTCAGAGCTTGGTAGCCTCTCCCGATGAAGAAGTGAGCCGGAAAAAGGTTCCAAAGAGATGTGCAGCAGAGTAGTATGCGTACGATCGCCTTCCTTTTGTTCCAGATCACACAACCAGGTCACAAGATACTTGGAAGAGAAGAACGTTCTTTGGCCGACAGATTGCTTCATGAACAATTTGTTCGTGTCAAACGGAGCCCAAACCCTGGTAGATTGACCCCCCAAACGTGGTTTGTTCATGTTCTGTGGTCAACCGGTCGGTGTCCCGGTGCCAGCATCCGTCGGTCTCACGGCATCCGTCGGTCTCAGCGTCCGGGTGTCCACGGTGTCCAAGCAGGATGTCAGCTGATGAGCAGGCATAGTGGCTACAAAAGGCCAAGCAGGGCTTTGGAAGCTTACAGTTCCACCGTTTAGCTTTAGGGATTCCCGGATACTCCTTTAATTGCCCCAAAACACGCGTGAACTCATATTAGTCGTAAACCAGCACACGTTCTGAGACTGGCAGCTGAAACAACTCCCGTCCAGCGGTGTCAGCGCGGACCCGACCGCGGCTCACTTGGCTTGCATTTCAAAGCGAGCTCCATTTCTGTGCCTGACCTGTTCGCGTGAGCTCGGTCAGAAGTTTTGTTTCGGCCTCGTGCATGCGGTAGACCAGCCCTGCGGCAAGGCAATCAGATGAATTTCCCCATATGAGCTGCCAGAACACTAGAATCAAAGCCTAGACAGTCTTCCATCAAAGTTCATATTCTTTCGTGGGCTCCCAATTGTGTACAGAATATAAATATATATAATATTATATGGATGGCTCATTCATTGGGTGCAAGTAGTCGTTCCTCTGTCTCGAACCAGCAGTTTTCACTACATGCGTTTGGATTCAGAGTCTCCTCAGGAAACAGCCACAGTCAATGTTGTCGATGCTTCTGTGGGTGCAAGTTCATACGTGTTGTTTAAAAAAGGGGGGCAAAGCGGCAAAGCTATCCTGCTTGGCACTTCGACAGCATGTGTTACCTCCTTTAAGGAATATGTGTTCACTTTCCCTGGCTCAATTAATCTCCGCATTCACATCGCCAGCCGTGCGGCATGTGCCACTCCAGTCATCTCCCATTTGCCGGAGCGCAGCTATGTACTGTTTGGGAGTCTCACAACAGTCCAGCAGTCGTTTGCTTTCGTCTTCGAATCGAAATTCCAGTTGGAACCCAAACACTGGATTTTTGGTGTCTCATTGCAGATAAAGGGTGAACATCACTGGTTTCCACCGTCTTTCTGGGGCGACGTCAAACGTGAGAACCGGTTTCCACCTGTCGTCCTGGGCAATCGCACCGGTGAGATGTGGAGGGTGATTGCTCTGAATGTTCAGCTCGAGACTCTTGCTAGGTCCATGTTTGGAGATGTTAGAGAACTGTTTGTGGGAAAATGTGGGAAAGCGTTACCCAGTCACATTTCACCACAACATGGACTTGTCTCTTGCGAGGATCAACATGGACCGTGCTTTTGCTCAGACACCTTTCCTAAAGACCTCTTGCATGCCGCCTTTTTGGTCTCCAAGATGCAGCTGGTGGCAAAAGGGTGCATGCTCAACCTGTCGGCATTCTCTCTCCAGTTCACCTGAGTTGCTGGTGAGACAGTGAGACTCTTGATTTATAATATATATATATAATGTAATATATGTGCGTGTGACCTAGGAAGCAGGAAGCTGAGCATGTTCTTTATTTCAAGGTGGGTGTGACATGTCAGCGTGGGAGGGTTCTTCAGAATCAAGTTTTCGTGATTCTTTGTGATTCCTGGTTCTAGCTGCAGAGGCATAGGCTAAGCACAACCATGCTTCTTGGGTTCTGAGTTTGTTCAATTTCAATCTTTTAAGCCAGTGTATGATCTCAAATTGAACATGTGGAAGCCTCTAACCTCGATTGTAGCCTACGCTTTTTTTGGCTTTCTGAAACTCCTCAGGCATCCATTCACTGAACATGACGATGGGCCAGTCCATTCGACTTCACACGCCGGACTCAAACCGGTTGAGACAGACCGGTACCGGTCGCCCAGACTTGTTTTCCAGTCACGGCTTGCAAGTGGAAGGGGAACTCTTGCTCAAACCACCTGGTGGTGCTTTGCTACCCTGAAAGATTCCGATGAATGTTTGACTCAAAGGCCTTGGCTGTAGATTAGATGCAGAAGTCACTGGAGCCATGTGCTCCATGCACGGACCCACGGATGGCTTGAGAACCACTCGGACCCCCTGACTCCAATGACTGTTTGGGTTCCTAGATACAGGAGAGATGGTAAGAAGCCATGGCCCCAATTTCAGCCATGGCTCCTCAGCTATATAATATTTGTATACATTTGTCACCTGAACTACCACAAGTACTCTGACCTTCATGAAGGAAGACATTCTGCAACACCATCTGGTGTACCATTCCAAGTGGTGGCACATTTCATCCGTGTTTGTTCTGATTTGTTCATTTACTGTAATCCCAAACACTGCTTAAAGTCATTCAAAGTCTATGATTGTTTGACACTTGCAAGCATTTGCTCATGGCCGGTGATGGCGGATTTGGACGCCCTGTTCTCCTCAGACACAGAGGTCAGAACAACCTATGTCAATGTACTTGTTGCTTGCCACTGTCTTTTGTACCTGCAATAGCCTGCAATCAATCACCCTAGTTGTGCAGTTTGTATATCTATGAATACTCTGCATGCATGTACATAGATGATGAATTGGAATCCAATCCTTCCCGGTAACAACAGCAAGCGTGATATACCTTCATGTTTGCTCTTAACACTTCAAGAAAAAGACCACCAACGGTCTCGTTTCTCCGGAACCGACGGTCCCGTCCGCAGGAGGAGCAGAAAGAGCTCAAGTGCCAGCGGAAGATCCGTGCAGCTGAGACCTTCAAGGCCACCGGGGTGAGCTCGCACGCGTTGGATGGGAGGAAACTGATGGATATGCATCATGGAGGGGTCAATCATTACGCAGACAAGAACTTGTTTTAGAATATGTGTTCAACAGCATTTTGGGTATATATGTCACTTTGTTCATTGTTTCAACACATTATTGCAAAACATGGTTTATGCTCAAAAAACAATGGCACAATATGATTGCAAGAACTGGTGCAGAGTTCTTTGCCTGCAGACTCATTTTGGAGTCGAAACGATGCGTAGAGCTGCCCAAACTTATGGCTTGAGAAGTGCCAGAAGACCTGTGTGTGGTTCCCTACCCTTGCACTCTCCGAAGCGCCTGATGTCGAGTAGCAGTGCAGGAGCACCTACAGGGGTGTGGCATTGCCTCCCTTGCAATGGCATCTCCAATCCTCAGCTCAACCTCCCAACCTCCAAGGCATGCTTCATGCCTCTTCCTGAGTTTCTGGCTTCCAAAAGGCTCAGAGCCTCTTCAGATGGCTCACGACCAGGCACAAGACACATTGATGAGCCATGGTCATGGATCGACAGAACAATGCAACACGCCGTCCCAACAACAACACCTACTGAAGAGACACGCATGGACAGAGCAACAAAAGCAACAAAGCCTCCTCTCACACAGAATGCAATCTACAGACCATACAGCCAAACACCCTGGCTCAGTTCAAGGATTCTGAGGTCATTTGTCCAGACTTGTGGTTCCTTGGCCGCATGTGCACCGTGTACAGGAAGAGGGGAACAGCTTCTTGAAGCAGGAGCAGCTGGACAAGGCCTGCGTCGGTTTCGTTTGGTCGACAGAAGCTTCGGAAGCCAAAGGCGTCCGGAAGGGAGTGGGTTGCGCACCGACCTGCTGACAAGTGACCACCGCACATTCTCTCTAACATGTTGCTTAAAGGGGATAGACGGCCATTGTTATATGAAGAGTCTTCGACAGACTAGACAGAATAGATTGAAAAGCTTCACCAACATAGAATGTTTAGACACATGTCAGTATTTACTTTTGGTCTGTGCTTTTCGTGTTTCTCCCAACACACCTTTCTTTCTATTTCTGCCGGCCTTGTCGAAGCGCTCCCAGGCCGAGGTGAGCTACCGCCGGGCCTTGTCGAAGATTTGGGCGCTCTACCGACAGCGGAGCGTGGTCGAGGCCGTGGACTTGGGCGTGCGACTGGTGCCTTGGAACGGGGTACGGCCGGGCACTGGCCCTCGGAAGTCTGTCTGATGGGTTTGATGAGTTGGCTTGGTAGGGGATGAAGTCATACTGGGGATTCAATGGGCTTGGTTGTCGTGTCTTGGTTTGGGCAGAAGTTGGGTGGGAATTTGCTGCCCCGGAGTTTGGCCCCACAGCAGGAAAGGGAGGATCGAAAGATTGGGGAAGCAGATTTCTCCTGTGAGCTCACTACTGCTCAGCTTGGATGTAGTCACTGACAGCTTGGATGATGCTACCATAGGTTACCAAGTTGTGGAATCTGATGAGCTTCCCAGTGTCATAGCTGGGCGCAGAGGCCAGGCTGGACATGCTAGCCATGACATAGGTGCGTTAGGAGGTGCCCAGGTGACCAAAGGACGGCATACGTAAACGTCCGATTGCAAGATGTTTATCAGCAGTTTCCATGGGATAGTGAGGGCGTTTGACCTTTTTGGGTTTGGGGTGATCAGTTTCCAGGGTCTCGTGCTAAAAACCGTCTCCGCCCTTGAGGATTTGAACCTGGCGCTGGTCTACCTGAAAGTGGAACGTCCCGAAACTCAAATTGCAGGGTGATCTTCAACAGGCCAAGAACTGCAATCTGTTCCACCACTCAGAGGAAAATAATCTTAAGAGCAGCTGCTTTAGGTGGCCAAGGGTGACATTGACACGAAGTCGATCCATTTATCAAGTGCACTGAAGGTGCCAGAAGCGTTGGGAACATGGGACAATCTGGGACAATGAATTAATTTTGCTTGTTTGATCTTTTGGGCATAGCTGCTTATATGTTTAACATCAAGACAGGCAGTGAAAACGGGTCAAGCCAATCCTGAAGGAATGCATTTCAGCTCCAAGTGTCTCAGGTTTTCTAAACATAGAAAATGGCAGCAAATGGTTGATTTGACGTGTTGATGCAACATATATACACTAAACAACCCTATGTAATAATAAACAAAATAACATATAAACGCATAACTCTGCACTAATAAAATAATGTATAGACATATATTGATAACTATACATAATATATGTTATATATATATGTTACAGTACATATAATATATATATATATATTGTAATTTACTATATCTCTATTTATCCACGCACTAAACGCACAATTATTGAACTTAATCATCTCTTCTTTGACCGTCCCATGTTTTGTGAGCCAGCAAGCACTGCAGGCTATGAGTCTGCGCGGCGTTGTGCCACACGGGTGCTCGAGGCCTTGGCATGAGTTTGATGGTCATGAAAGGTAAACCACCACATGCTACCCACCGGGCTTTTGTTCGTATGCTTCGTACTTTCCTTCGTCACAACAGAGACCTCATTCGACCTTTTTTGGTTCCAAGGTGGGGTGGTTCTGGTGGGAATTCCCTGGCTGGAAGGACGGGACTCATGAAGCACTTGGATGGGTTGCAACCATAAATGGCCTTTGCTATCAGTTGGTTGATGAATCGAGAGGATACCCCAAGTGTACAACCAATAACCGTACCAAACCAATCTCTCTATTCCTCCCAAAAGGACATCACTGGAACATGAAACCCATGCAAGTCCGGGCCATGCAGCGTATACACCGTGAGCGGTGGGAACCGTGTCGCCACGGTCACGATGCGTCACCAAAACCCCTGCTTTCTTATCCTTCCTTGTCTTGATTCGCTCTTGACTGTGACTGTGTTTCGATGTTTCAGTTGAACCAAAGCACCAACTAGCAACTGACAAAGCTCAAAAGCCTCCCCCTCCCTATAGCCCCCACGTCGCTCCACCTCATTCCACGACCCAAGAGATGCCTCGCACCTCAGTTCCCTCACCGCTTGACACTCCGCTTGACTCTCCGCACTCCGTGGAGAGGACACCGGACCTACAACCCGAGTCCTCCCGCTTCCCGGCGTGCGGTGCGCGGCGCGACCGTGCGCGGCCGCGCGCGGCGCGGAACGCGAGCGCCGCGAGTCCGGCGGTCCAGGTGGAGCCGGAGAACGCGAAGGCGCTCTTTCGCCGTGCCTTGAGCTGGCGCCACGTGGGGCGCCTCAGCGAGGCCGAGGCGGACTTGCAAAAGGCCTCGCAGGCGAGGGGTTCCGAGGGGGTCCGGGGACCGGGAAGAGACGGGGTGCCGATTTGGGGATGTGGGGGTGTGTTAGTTGGGGTGGTTGTGAATTGGGGAAAAAGGGTGGGCCAGATATGGCCTGATCATATGGAATGCATTTGAGGTTCGATGCTAGCAAATTTGAGCTGAATTGAAGATAATTGAAGCATTTTTTTTGCAGAGGACACAAATAGCAGATGATCCGCCAAGGTTTGTATGTTGAGCTTGGTCATTTTACATGCTTTTTACTTTGGGTTTTGTCGATGATTCAAAGACACACCAGTCTCAGCTTGTTGCCGTTCAATAGAACAAGTTATGATAATAAAATAAACACGCAGTCAAAGAAGATTTGAAGGGGGTGAAGCATTGTACTCAACCTTGCATGCCATGGGTTGCTTTACAGACTACATCCACTAACAGTTTGGGGGTTGTGGGCTCACTGCAGATTGTTGTTCCTGTCCCAACCAAACTGTCAATTTGGCAAGCAATGTAATGGTGCAGGTTGAGCGTCAACACGTCCGACGCACGGCAGCCCGTCCTTTTCCGCAGGTCTCGGACCTGCCGGAGGTCTGTCGAGAGCTGGCGGCGGTGAGAAAACTCCAAAGTGAGGACGCCACTTGGCCAGCTTCTTGCTCCGTTCGTAGTAAGGCCAGGAGCCCCGTTCGTAGCTTCTTGTTACTACTAGTAAGGCACCTGTTACTACTAGCGTGGCACTTGTTACTAATAGCTTCTTGCTCCGTTCGTAGTAAGGCCAGGAGCCCCGTTCGTAGCTTCTTGTTACTACTAGTAAGGCACCTGTTACTACTAGCGTGGCACTTGTTGCTAATAGCTTCTTGCTCCGTTCGTAGTAAGGCCAGGAGCCCCGTTCGTAGCGTCCTTGGTCCGTTCGTAGCGGCCCGTCCTTGCTCCTAGTAGCTTCTTGCTCCTATATGTTCCAGTGAGGACGGGGAGCAGTGGACCAGTGGAGTCGATGTCACATCGTTCCAGGTCGAGGTCAAGAATCTGCAGTGCTGAACGCGGTACGCCCGGGAGGGGTGCAGAACTCCTTCCTCGGAAGATCGAATTATCACCTAGTCAGCACACCTTGCTCACCACCGTGTCAAATGTGCTTGGGGATGCAGAAACAAGGCAGAAATTAGGAGGCCCCTTCCAATCTGATATAGCTCAACTGTTGATGGGGAAATGAGGATCTCTTTTTTATAGGCTTAATGAATACTGAGTACATCTCCCCAAACAAATCTCCATTCTCGGTGTCCATACCTTTGGGACCCCCCCAAGTCCATCACGCGGCTCAGGATTCGAGCATGCTTCGTTCGGGATTCCTGGAGGCGAAGCCGGAGGAGGTTTCGGTGCAACCAGAGGCGGAAGAGGTGGAGCAGTCAGCCTGGGCAGTGACGGAGCAGGTTCAGGAGATGAAACTCATGCGTTTCGGCAGTCAATCGGGATGTTGTACAGGCACAGGGCGTTCTTTTTTCCGGTGTGGAGTGGTTTCTTGGGTGAGCCTTAGCTATGTGGTATACTTATTATGTTATGATTCATGATGGCATTGGATGTGTTGGTGATACGTTGCCATGGTCAGATTGACGGACGCCTTGTCGCCAGGACGCCTTGCAGGACGCCTATGGCTTCCTCGAGGCCGTGGCCGTGCGCCGCGTGGCCGTGCGCAGTGCCGAGGAGAGGCAGCAGCTGTGCCACGTGACGAAGAACCCCCGTGGACAACTGACTCCACCGGGGGGGAGCGAATCCTGATACCTCCTGGTACCTGAGGGCTAGCTAAGTCACCACTGGTACCTGGGTTAAGGTCCTGATACCTGGGGGAGTTGAAGACACATCATGGTACCTGGGGGGAAATGATTAAACAGTGAACAGCTGACAGTCAACACTTGAATTGCGCAGGGCACCCCAAAGTGACCAGATCACACCTCCTCGAGAAGTAGCCATGTAATGCGATTACCTCTAGTTTGAGTAGATAACTATAATCGTATGATCGTAAAAAACTTAGATATATATATTATATCCTTATTATATCTCCTTATTATCCAGTAAACTCAACATAGCACCTATACATTGCCAGGTGTAGAGACAGCTTCATCTGATCTCATCTTCCAGAAGTAGATTGAGCTAGAAGTTGTTGTTGTTTTCACAGCTCTCCCCAGTTCCACAGAGCGAACGGCGGCAACAACTCTTCGTTCGTTGGGCTTTGGTCTTCAGGTCTTTCACCTGCACCGAGGCGAACACGCGGACCGCATCGGCGGCGTCCTTCAGCAAGTGCGACAGACCCTTGAGGTTCGTCGCCGGTGCGACGAGGGTCCGGGTCCGCGTGGCATGAATGGATGAGAACAAAAGCGCCAAAGAAACGTGTTCAAAAGTGAGGAACATCCACCATCCAGGAGGGTGATCAGCCGAAATGCCCAGCGAACCGGCTCGACATCACTGTCAGGAGGCCACCATCGTCCCTCCTCCAGACACACTAACCACCACACCTGTTGCGGCGGTGGAAGTGACGGAGCTGCTGAGGACGGCTGGGTTGATGGAAAGATCGAGCTGCGTTGTATCCATTATTTGTTGGCATGTCATTGGCCATTTATATTTATAATAGATGTCAATGATTAGTCAGAACGTACTGGATAGACATTGGCCAAATGCAGGAAGATGTTGAAGGGCTTGAGAAGCTTTCGGCCCTTCTTCAGTTTGCAAGAGCGCAGCTGTGGGGAGTGCCGTGGCATGTTGATGATGGACCGACGCAGAAGATCAAGACTGACTTATGGGATGAAGATCAACCCGAGTTTGATGCTGTAGGCCAACAAAGAATCTTATTTGGATTGGAGGGGAAGCTGTTGGCAAAGAGTTGGAATGACTGACAACCAGCGAAAAGCGACTGTAGATCACTCAATACACCTGTATCATGCGCATAAAGGACCTGGGATTTTCCCCCCTCTAAACCTGCCGACGGCCCGGTCGTTCGGCCGGCCTGGACGTCGCAGGTTCCGCAGCCTGCGCGTCTGTCGCCAGCTGGGCACCGAGCCCTGGAGTCTGGACGTGGAACTCATTTGTTGGGGCGACGCTGAGGCGACCGGGTCCGGGTGGGTCGGGGATCGCGACCGGGACGGAGAGGTGACAGGAGAAGAACATGCAGGATGGACAATGTGGATGGAGTAGGAGGCAACTGGGTCAATTCCAGGGTGAATCAAAGGGAGACAAAGAGTGTCATATATATATATATATTATTACATGCAGCATATATTATATATATGTACATGTTGCCTGGGTGGACTAATCACCATATACTTGCATGCAACAGAAACAGGCTGTGACACCTCTGAGATCAGGAGACCAGTCTTTACTGTGCCAGTGCTAGTAGGTCGGAGGCCATCGGAGGGCAGAGCGGCCTTCAAAAAATGCAAACACATCCGTGTCAAGCTCCAACTGTGCACAGGAGGCCACACCAGAGACCTTTGCCTCGGCATTGCTGGGCCCTAGCGGCAAAGCCACATCAGATGAGGTGAAGTCGTGGCAGCGCCAGCTGTTCGACACTGAAGCAGAAATTTGAGGAATACTGGATGGCTAGGTTGGTCGCGCACCGTTTTGTATTATATATGTGGTGTTTAAGTTGATGTCTTTATCCCCCGTTAGGATTTCCCTAGGACATGATTCGACCTAATCAGCTATGACAACAGGTCTTCCATCCCCGAGCAGCCCGAGCAATTCCTGGAGTGATTGTGCGATGTGAGTTGAAGGGAGGAAATCAAAGACATGACCCTCAAGGTATATATATTCCTTGGTTTTCTAAGGCACGTCTCTACGTCATGTTTTACAATTTTTTGTCCTATTACTACCTGTTCTATTACAGTCAGTAAACATTTTTTTTTGAACAAGGCCTTTACTAACCATATCTAACCGTCATCATCCACTGTTACTGATAATAGGCAAGACCCAAAGTATGTTTAAACAACCTGTTGCTTTGAGGACCCTCTACAACTCTAGAAAATTACATTATATTTTGTTGATTGGCTTGTTTCACTTGCAATGTGGGTAAACAAAAACGAAGCACAAGCAATGAAGTAGAGATGCGTTGTTTGATCAAGTTGGTCCCATTAAACTTAAATGTTTGACTTGAATAACTTAAACAAAACAGCAAGACATGTACTTTCCTGACCCCCTTCCATGTTCTAGTCAAAAGTGCAAGCCCTGAGTGTTCTAGTCACTGCTAAGAGAATGCTCCAGCCAAGTTCTCTTCAATTTCAAAGGGATGCACACACACACATATGTCTGAGAAACATTGAACCCACGAGAAAGTGGGTGCGTGAAATTGTATCCATCGTTATTTTCAAGACTAAGATTCCAAGGAAGCGGTTAAGTTATTGCCAGGTCTCGCTCATTATCAATGTTATTCAACACGTGTTCCTTTTGCACTCCATAGAATATAGAACATGACTTGTGTTTTTTCTTTGTTTCCTATTCCACTGACAATGGAACAGGTGAAAAGGACGATTCTGGAGATGCACGAAAGCATGAAGATGAGCTCATGAAATGTTGACCTTCTAGAATGCCTTGCATTTCTTAGAGAGTGTTGTTTTTCACGATTGATGTTTGTATGGATCATGCTGCGGGTGTTCCTTTCTGCCCATGTCCGGTGATTTGGCAACCATGGACATGGCGGTTCCCAGTTTGTACACGATCTCAACCACTCTGGTTCAGCCGGCCCTGGACTTGACGCGTTGGATTCGCGTTGGATTCCAGGACCGGATCTTCTTGAAGGATGCCAGCCAGTACGTGGCAGGCCGCATGGCACTCATAGAAACAAGGCCGTAGGGACCTCGAGTTGTGATGAGTTGTGTGGGGATTTTTCAGGGGTGAGACATGGTCGGGCGGACATAAAGATGGCAAGCATCCGAGTTCCCAAGGGACTAGGACTAGGAAAAGGTAAGTGGTGCAAGCGAGCCTTTTTGGTTTCCATAATGATAACCCAAGAAATATCATCCAGGTTCATATTCAAAACAATCTCTTACTTGCTGCAGTTCCCGAGCTGCAAAACGTTTTTCCTGCGATTCGACGCCCCAAACCTGGAGAGGTCCATGCAATAGAGATGTTCAGAATCACATCATGTTCAGATACATTGGCTGGATGCTCGCTGTTTTGGTTCGTTTTAAAGTGTAACAATTCAGTGTTTTTTTTATTCCCGAATGCGTAGCGAAGGGTTCTCGTTTAACTCTTGGGGGTCTGGGGGTAGAGTCTTGTTCGCGACCCGTTGCTTCTATGTTCGCAACCGTCCGCAACCGTTCGCAACCGTTCGCAACCGTCCGCAGTAGGTCGCTAAGGCGCTGCCATTGGGGGAAGCTTTTGCAAGTGACTATTCATGGATGTGTCACGTGTCAGTTTGCGACGCTAGTCCATTGTGATTTGCGTGAAAATGACATGTCGCGCAAGAAGCGTGATGCATTTCGCTGCACAGGCGCAGCGTTTTGTGAGATCTGCAGATTGCTGCGCAGTTCCATTGGGATTAGCGTTTGGAGAGTCGTGTTTTTGGGGTG